TAGTAGAAGGAAGCACTCTTTCTGCTTCTAAGAGAGAGAGTGGAAGGGGAAGGAAGGGGAGAAGGGAAGGAGAGAGAGAGAGAGAGAGAGAGAGAGAGAGAGAGAGAGAGAGAGAGAGAGAGAAATTTACAACAGACTGAAATTCATAAGAACTGAAATTTGAAAATGAAAAAGGAAGGAGAAAGAGCCATGATGCTGGTGTGAGTGGCAACAGGAGCATCTTCCCCTACAATGTGAGGTCTTTGCAGCCTGGGGAACATGTTCTCAGTTGCTGATGTTGAGCACTTTGTCCTCCAGCGGCTTTGAATATGGGCTGGAAAATGATCTGTGCCCCATTTTACAGATGAGAGACCTTGAGAGAAGCAGAGAGACAACTCCCAGCCATTTTCTGCTTCCTGACTCCACCTGTTGACTGGATACATTTTGGCAAAGGGTCCTAGAGAGCTCAGACAACCATCTGCTAAGAAATGTTATCAGCCTTTGTTCAGATTGGCTTTGGAGTTAAGAACTGGGTGACACAGTGTTGGTTAAAATGAAGAATGATTCTCGTTCCTTTCCCAAATCAAAATTATCTAGGCAATAATTCAAGAATTTTTGCATCAGGGACCCTTTTTTAAAAATTAATAAAAAACTATGGATTGTTTCCTCTGGAATCTACACAGGAGCTCGGAATCCAATCTCATGTAGAAATAAGGTCATGAAGATGCAATTTTTAAAGAGAAGCTCAAACTGGATTAGACTGGGTCCTAAATCCAATGACTGCTGTCCTTATAGGAAGAGGAGAGGGTGTACAGACAAAGTGCCAAGAGTTCAGGGTTGAGAATCTATGGGATGATGGAGAAAGAGGCTAGTGACAGGGTGACAGTCCATTGAATGTCAAGCCTAGCTCATAGGATGATGGAGACAGAGGCTAGTGACACATTGACAGCTCATGAAATGCTAAGGTTTGTTCGTGGGATGATGGCATTGCTGCAGCCCACGGCTGTCAAGGCTCACTCAAAGTCAGCAGAAGCTAAGGGACCAGGAAGGACCCTCTCCCAAAGCCTCCAGAGAGTAAAGAAGCCCCATTGGAACTTGGATCTTGGATGTCTGGTCCCCTGAACTGTAAGAGAATGACTTCGGTTATTTTAAGGTACCAGTTGAAACATTTTATTACATGAGTCCTAGGAACTCGGTATCCAATATCTCCTCTACAGACTAATCACTCAGGGAAAACAAACCATTTTCATTTTTCTGAACATGTGTTTTGGTTCCATGCACCACACCTTTATCCACTGATTACCACTGTCTCTTATGCTCCAGTCCTTCTCCCATTCAGTACCTACTCCGCCCTTAGCTTTTCTATGCCAGAACTTTCCTGATCCCTTCTCTCTCCCAGGTTGGTTCAATACTTTTTTCCCCCATGTTTCCATAGATTGTTTTCCTGTATCATGATTGTTACACTTAACCCTTGCCTATTTATTAGACCAGGATGCTCATGAGGAGGTAAGAGCCCCAGCTGTTGATAGAACACCTAGCAGCTACTGGGTAGTTAAAAGTGTGACTGCACATTTACTTGTAGACAACTGGCCTACTTAAGACCATGCAGATCTTCCGTAGCAGGCCAGCAGGAAGAGCTCCATTGAGTTTACAGCCGGTGAGTTGGAGCCAGTGTAACAGCAGGAGGCAGACACATGGCCATTAGATTGTGCAAAGGCCCCTGGCTGTTTCCCCTCCAGCTATTTCATATGTGCTTTATTGCCCTGGGGAATGAGACCAAAAATTCTTCCTCAGATCTCTTCTGCTGCTCATAACCCATGCTCTGGAACAACATGTTCTTCCACTGCCCGGGAGTCCAGAGGCAGTGGCCCTTGCTCCGATAGAAGCTACCTGTGTGGCCAACATGACCCAAACATCACGACAATCTTTATCTATAAGCTATGGTCTTCATCTATAAGCTGAGGAGCTAAAAGTTGTCATTCCAGCCCTGAGAGTCCCCTCTCTGAGATGCGACAGAGTAAAGAACAAAATGATGCTGGTGTCCTGTTAAGGTGATGTGCCTCCCCTCAAACTATTTGAGTTCCAGAATCCTCCTTTCTTCACTCATGCTTCCAAGCTTCCTTTTGCCACGGGACTACGTCCGTCTCTACTGGTTGGAACGGGTTAAAAGGTGTGGATGGAAAGATAGCATCCTCTGTAACCCCTCTCATCATTTTCTTCATCCAAAAGGCACTGTTCTCAGTCCTGAGGAAAATAAAAGAAAACACACTTTACAAAACAAAACAAAAAAAGGACAACTAACTTCCCACTAAGGATTGCCATTAAGTGCCAGATGTCCAGTCGAGAAAGCCTATAAAACAAAGCAGCTGTTTGGACACTGCTCCCCAGGCCTCCCTCCCCTCCAGGCCCTCATACCACAAGTTCCTGCACCTTTGGGCTGAAAGGGAACATCTCCAACTGCATGGGCCCTGTACTTTAAAAGTTACCATGCTTAATGTGTAGGGACCATACAGATCTTGCAGCACTTGTCCTATGGAAAGACTCCTTGCCGTTTCTGGCTCTCCAGGCGCCTAGAAACCTCATACTCAGCCCAATTCAGCTCCAAAGTTACCTCTTTATCGCCTTTATTCTTAGGCTGACTCTTCCCTCTGTGCTCGGAGATGAGGACAGCTAACATTTCGACAACCATTGTGCACCCTCCATGTGCTACGGTGTCTTAAGTACCGGGACTAGGAATAGCTAGATTTCTTCTCCAGAACTCCTCTGCATGTATCTTGGCACTGTGAGTCATCTAGCCAACCATATTTCCTTTTCTTTATTGCCTTGGATGCTCAGACACTCCAGGCCAAAAGAAAAAAAAAAAAAAAGAAAAAAGAAAAAAGAAAAATCTGTGACCTAACCCTAGCATATCTACTGAATCCTGTGACACAATATAAAATACTAATCTTACCTTTATTCTTTTCTTGTTTTGTCTCTGCTTTTCTTCCATATTCATCCTGACCCCCCCCCCCCATGCCCGTGCTTCGGAGAAGTATGCTCAAATCCTGGCTCAAGGAGAACAACATTAACAAGTAAAATATATAGTGTACATATACCGCTGTAGTTTTCCCAATATTCAGCAACTGACAAGGAAAGTGGGGCTCTGAGGGTGTGCTGTTTGTTTTTTGTTAGCTCAGCATAAACCGAGACGTAGCTGGGAAGAGGCACTCAATTGAGAAAATGTCTTCGTATCAGTGGCCTGTTGGCAAGTCTATAAAGCTTTTACTTAACAAGTGATTGGTGTGGGAGGTCCCAGCCCAATGTGGGTGAGGCCACCCCTGGGCAGGTGATCCTAGAGTATATGAAAGCAGGCTGAGCAAGCAACAGAGAGCCAGCTAGTAAGCAGCACTCCTCCCCGGTTTCTCCATCAGTTCCTGCCTCCAGGATCCTGCCCTGTTTGAGTTCCTGTCCTGACTTCCCTTCAAGATGGAATGTGATGTGGAACGGTAAACTGAAATAAATCCTTTCCTTCCCAAGATGCTTTTCACCATGGTGTTTAACCACAGCAATAGAAACCCAAAGGAAGACAGAGTGGGAACCTAACATTTTTAGATCATACAGCTTCCAGGTGAAAGAGCTAGGATGTCCAAAAGCGATATTCATCTAACCCCAAAGCTCACACTCCAGGAGGCATCATCACTTATACCCAGTGAACACTTTATAGGTACCTGATATTGTCTCATTTTTCATCAAAACAAGTATCACATCACAATGAAGCTGCAAAAATGGGGTTCAGAGAGACCAAATCTTTTGTTCAAGGTAATGCTGGTGCTGACACACAAACCCACACAGCCTGGACTTGAATTTCTGAACTCTTTGCAGCCTTCCCAGTGTATAGCAGAGGTAAGCTTACAGACACAGATGACTAATTAAGTGTTGTCTGGCTGCTTTAGAATGCCCAGCTGCATGGTGAGCTAGCACCAAGTTTTATCATCTAAAAACTCCTATGGATGTCTGGCTAGGAATAGGTACTTCTGAGTTTCACAGTTCTCCATGGAGCAGATGGATCAAACAACACAAAGTCTGTGTGCAGCACTGGATTTTTAAATGCCAGCCTGAGCACTGGCAGAGAGGAAGGATTACCTAGCGTCTAGGGTGAAAAATAAAAGCCTTTGGAAACAGCAGCTCTGCTCGTTGCCGCCACCTAGCAGTAAATGTTGGCAATTGCTCAGAGAAAGAAAATGAAAATCCCTACGTACAACTTAGTGAACCTCTTGGATGTCAAGTGTTGCCTGCACATCTTTTTCTCTCTTACAAATCCTAATCTGAGATGTGCTTTTGTCTTAAGAATTAGAAACCTAGAGATACCAAGAAGCTTGCCAAAGAATTTGACCCTAATCTGTGCTCTTGGAATCTTTATTTCCACTATACTGTATCAGTTCTCAAAAGTAGTATTTCTTGGTAGCCTGTGATTTCTCCATCCTCTTGCATTTGGGATTGTGGATGCTCCACACTCCAAGGGAACTATGATGATACTGTCAGGAAATGTATAAGCTGTGGGTGTCCATAGGCTGGGGCTCTCCACACCCACAGTGTTGTTGTCCAACTCTTGTGCATCCTCATTATGATGAGAACCTACCACTACTTACTGATTAGGTGCCGTAGTGACTAAAAACAACGGCCAGCCTCAGAGCACACCAGAGCCCCCTGAATGAGGTTAGGAGCTTCGGAGAGCTCTGTGGCATGTTAACTTACTGTAATGGCTAGTATTATCAGTCAATTTGACAGGATCTAGAATCACCTGGGAGATGGGCCTTATGGGGGTTTGAATAAAAATGACTCCCATAGGCTCACAGGGAGTAGCACTATTAGGAGGTGTGGCCTTGTTGGAGTGGGTGTGTCTTTGTAAGAGGAAGTACGTCATTAGGCACTAGGGGGTGGGTTCTGAGGTCTCAGAAGCTCAAGCCAGGTCTAGCGGCATTCATTTCCTGCTGCCTGCAGATCCTTATGTAGAACTCTCAGCTACCTCTCCAGCACCATGTCTGCCTGTGTGCCGTCATGCTTCCCACTATAATGCTAATGGACTAAACCTCTGAACTGTAAGTTAGTCTCAATTTAATGTTTTCCTTTGTAAGAGTTGCTGTGGTCGTGGCTACTCTTCACAGCCTCTAGGCATTCCTGTTAGGGATTATTTTGGTTGAGTTAAGTAAGGTGGAAAGACCTACTTACTTCAGGTGGCATGGTTTCCTGTCTGGGATCCTGGACTGTGTGAGCAGAGAAAGAGAGTTGTGTTGTGGAATAGAATATTTGTTTCACTATGTAAAGATGTGTTGTATTTGTTTACGCTGAATTTGTTTGACTAGGTTAAGATGTGTTGCTGTTTTATCTTGTCTGCGTAAGGCACCTGATTAGTTTAATAAAATGCTGAATGACCAACAGCTAGTCAGAGGAGGGATAGGCAGGACTGTTGGCAGAGAGAAAAAGGTAGCTAGCCAGCCAGCCAGCCAGGGGCCAGCCAGCCAGGGGTCATCCAGGAAGACGTGGAAGAAGCAGGAAAGCAGGATAGACAGTACATAGATGAGGTAAATGAGCCATTCGGCAACACATAGATTAATAGAAATGGGCTAATTTAAGTTAAAAATAGCTAGAAATAAGCCTAAGCTAAAGTCAAGCATTCACAATTAATAATAAGTCTCCATGTCATGATTTGGGGGTTGGCAGTCCAAGAAAGCCTGCTACAGAGCTGAGCATCAGGGAGCATGTATCCATGGCTGTCTGCTTCTTGGCTATGGGTGTGATGATGTGGTGTGACCAGCTGCTACAAGCTCCTGCTGCTGGAGTTTCTCCACCACGACAGGTTGTATCTTTGAACTGAGAGTCAGAATAAACACTGCTTGTCTTCAGTAAGATTCTGTCAGGGTGTTTAATCAAAGTAACAGAAAAAATAACTGGGACATCTACCTCACCCCATTATCCCTTTCCCAGCATCACAGCAGCCATGGAACCCAATGGCCTCACAATTTTGGTGGCTTTGAGAAATTAGCATCCTAGCAGCCCAGGGAGAGCAGAGCATGTTTGGAGTATCACTGTGGTGTTATATTGTTCATGATTTAATAAAGTTTGCCTGGTGCTCATATGCAAAGCCAACCACACTAATTAGCCATAGAAGTTGGGCAGTGGTGGCACACACCTTTAATCCCAGGACTCAGCAGACAGAGGCAGATGGATCTCTCTGAGTTCAAGACCACCCAGGGTTACATGAGATTGAATCAGTCTAAAAGAGTAACAGAGCTCACACCTTTAATGCCAACACTAGGGAGGTATATAAGAAAGAAGCAAAGGCTCTCATGTGAGATTCAGTTTCCAGTCACAGGGAAGACAGGATCTCCGCTTCAGCCTTGGCAGAGGTAAGAGCTGGTGGGCTGCTTTGCCTTTCTGATCTTCAACTTGAAACCCAATATCTGTCTCTGGGTTTTCACTATTTGTGCTACAGACCACCCAAAACCTAACACAGAGAACTGTTGCTATATGGCTGTCGGGAACTCCCTGAAGATCTCCACTTGCAGAGCTTGTCTTTCAAATAAAAACTAGCACTAATTTTAGTGTGTAAAATGGATCTCATCATGATATTCTCATACACACAAGTTTCATTTTTTGCTCATGTTCACCCTTCTCTCCTCCTCACTCTCATTGATTGGTCTTCTTCCTTTCCCTAAGTAGCAATATCCCTTCTGTTTCTATGTTAAATAGATGATAGATAATTAGATAGATAGATAGATAGAAGTAAATAGAGATATGTGTATGTATGCATATTGCTAAATCTAGATTTTGTATCTGAAAGAAAAACATTTTTGTCTTTCTTTTTCCCATTATTTGCTCTTGTTCCTATGCCTTTCCCCCTCTTAATTCCTCTCTTCCTCACAGTTTTCTTTTAATTTTATGTCGTGTGTGTGTGTGTGTGTGTGTGTGTGTGTGTGTGTGTGTGTGTGTGGTCATGTCATATTTACTTAAATCTAGATTTCATGAATGGGAGAAAACACACAGTATTTGTTTGAGTCTGGATTATTTTACTTAATATCATGACCTCCAAATCCTTGGTGTAATTTTATTCTTCTTTATGGCTTAATGAAACCCTACTATGTATATAGGCCACATTTTCTTTATCCATTCATCCATGGGTGGCCATCTAGGCTGGTTCTATATCTTAACTATTGTGAATAGTATAGCAACAAACATGGCTATGCAAGCATCTCTGGAGTGTGTTGACTGGGGTATTTACACAGGAGTGGTTCATATGTTAATCCTACTTTTAGTTTTTAGATGAACCTCTAGTCACATTTCCATAATGACTGCAACAGTTTATATTTCCACTAACAGTGCACGAGGGTTCTTCTTTCCATACATCCTCTCCAACATTTGTTGTTGTTTGTTTTTGGAGTGTTGTTGTTGCTGTTGTTTTGGGTTTTTTGAGATAGGATTTCTCTGTGTAGTCCTGACTGTCCTGGAACTGGCTTTGTAGACCAGGCTGTTCTCAAACTCATAGAGATGAGCCCGCCTCTGCCTCCTGAGTGCTGGGATTGAAGGTGTGTGCCACCACTGCCCAGCTGCTTGTTTTCTTGATGATTTTCTTGACACTGTTGACCAGTATGAAACAGGATTTCAACAAAGTTTTGTAGGCTTTTTATTTTTCTATAAATATATTATTTAGTTTTAAAATTAAGATATAATTATATCATTCTTTCCCTTCCTCTGTCCAACCCTTTCTATTTATGCCCCTTGCTCCATCTAAAAATCATGGCCTTATTTTCTTTTGTTATTGATTTTATATGTATATATTATGCATATACATAGATGTGTGTATATGTATGTATATATGTATAAATATGTAAATGAAACCTGATGAGTCCATTTAGTTTTGCTTCTATGTATATGATTTCAGGGCTGACAATCTGGAATTGGGCAGCCATTCAAGATCATCCCTGGGAGCAACTAAGTCTTTAGTTGCTTGCAGTTTGTCTAGGGATGGGACTATGCAAGATTTCCCCCTTTGCACATTAGCACATCTACTGGTATTGCTATCATTCAGGTCTTTTTTAGGAAGCCATACTGTTGAGGTGTCATGAGTGTAGCTTCTCTCTCATTTTTAGGAGACACAGTCTCACAGTAGACTTTCTGTTCCTCTAGCTCTTATAATCTTTCTGTCCTCTTTTCCTCCATGCTCCCAGATCCTAAGAGGCAGGAATTGTATTATGGATGTGTGTTATAGATTGTGTTACGTCCACTGGGCCTGGCACCCCTGATCTGTTGTTCTCTACAATAGATCAGTTGTGGGCACATTTGGGACCAAGAAGACTTAAAAGAAAAAACTCCAGCCTGAGATGCTCCCAGGAGATGTTGGAAAGTTACAGCAGCTTTAGAGAGATCCAGAAGGCCACACATGTGTGCAAAGCTGTGCCCAGCACAGACCTGAGAATATCCCTACTTCTTACCTTAGGTTGACAGCGGTGCTCCACATTAGCAGGGAGTGCTATGGAGGCAGAGTTGTAAATGCTCTGCCAGAGTAGAGAAGACTCATCAAAAAGCTCACAGAGAGGTCCTTGATAAACAGTATAATGCATTTAAGATCATCTCTACTCAGTACTTAGCTGACCACCTACTGACTGGGTGGAGAATTCTCAGATTTGGGTTTTTTGTTTTGTTAATGTTTCTTTGTTTTGTTTTTTCAAGGCAGGGTTTCTCTGTGTAGCAGTCCCAGCTGTCCTGGAACTTGCTTTATGGACTAGGATGGCCTCAAACTCACTGAGATCCGCCTGCCTTTGCCTCCCAAGTGTTGGGATTAAAAGCATGTGCCACCACTGCTCAGCCAGAATTAATTCAGAAACACCACTATATAAGCAAACAACAATGCAATCATAAACTCTCAGGAGGAGATCATATCTGACTTCCATGGGTGTCATATTGTACCGTGTAAATGATCCAGATAACAACAAAACTTGTTAGGCATGAAGAATACAGCCTGTGTTCAGAGAAGGAAGTGTTCCATGGAAATTGCCCATTGCCCATGAGGAGGCTCAGATTTCAACCCAGCCATTATGGCTATGCTCAAAGAACTAAAACCATGTGCAAAGGATGCAGGGGAATCGTGAGAACAAGCCTAGCTGGATGGAGACCGTCAACACAGAGCCAGACAGAAGTCCTCGAGTTGAAAGGCACACAATAACTGTGATGGCTCGAGGAGCTTGCTGCAGAGGGATCTGGAGAGTGGGTCAATTGTGCTTATGAAGTCTGGGTAAAAGAGAAAACCTAATCAAGGGATCGTCAGAGACCTGTGAGGAAAAAAAGGCAAGCAGAGAGCATGCTAATATATGTGGATAATGCCGTATCTAAAAGGAGAGTGGCGAAAAGCAAATGTAAAGAGTTAGGAAAGGAGGACTAACGGTGTGGCTCAGTGGTAGAGCATGTGGTGACAAACATCTGGAATTTGGCAAATTTAAAAAGACAAACCCCAAGCTGGATGCAGAGGTGCATGCCTGTAATCACAGCATTGAGGTGGACGAGGCAGGAGGATGACATGAGCTACTATATTAGTTACTTTTCTCACTGTTGTAACAAAATACCTAAATGCAATACTTCAATGATGTCCTTTCTTTGGCATACTGGGGAGTGACTTTAGGGCCCTGTCCATGCTAGACTAGTCCTCCACTACTGAGTCATGCATCCATCCTGCCTCACAAAATGATTTAAAAGGAAAATGATTTATTTTGGCTGATGTCTGCATACCACTGTTTGTCCCTTTCCTCAGCATTCATTTCATGTTTGTGGGCATGATCTTTTCCTGATCTTTTCCTTCATCTTCACATCCTAGTACCATGCCCTCTCAGGGGCTGCCTGTAGGGATCTTACCCCTCTCTGACTGTAAGTCATCTGTAAGTCAAGGACAACCTGTCGATTCTCTCCTAAAGTATTTATTTCCGAGTGCTCAATAGATTATTAATGGTGGGAGAGATTAAGGATTGGCTTCTGTTTATGTTTGTAAAAAAAGAAACCCAAAACAACTACCACCACCCAAATCCCACAGTTCATAAAATCACTGTTTCTGTCATGACCAGCCAGGAAAACTGTGGATGGTACTGATAGAAACAGAACAGGGTGCTGACAACTGTATAGCCATAGCCCAGCAGTAATTTCTTTAGAGAGAGCTGAGGGTATGGGGTTAGCTGCACTGGACCTGGATGATGGGTAAGGTTTGTTTAATATGAGGCAGTCAAACTATACTTGAGTTTCTCATCTCTAGGAAAGAGATGACCATACCTGTCACGCCTGCTGTATGAGATGCTATGCAGCTGTAATGAGGTAGGTTATAAAGGTGACTTGAAATATTCAATGTCTGTGTGCTTTTCTTGTAGTCAGTCTCTGCTAGATAGTGCTATCATCCTATGAGGGTTTATTGAACTTCACTAAATAAAGTGGGGTCTGTAATCTGAGGTCATGTGATGAGAATCTACAGTGATGCTACATACAGTACAAGCGCCTTCCTGTGTTCACATTAGTGGATGCCTTCTGACTAATTATGGGAAATAGAGTAACTATGGGTAGCTTGCCAAGCAGGCAAAGAGTTCTAGAATCTACAAAATACCAAGTGTAAGAGGTTTGAAGTCCAATGTGAATTTGAGTTACACTCTACTACTTCTAAGTTAGCTATTGTTAGGCAAGTGCATCCATGTGCGAGGGAACATATATGTATGTGTGTTTATAAGTTTGTGTGTGTGTGTGTGTGTGTGTGTGTGTGTGTGTGTGTGTGTGTTAGCAATTTATCCAACCCATAAAATATCATTTAATATTAGTTTACCAATAATGCTCCAAACTTTCATTGCTTCCATCCTTTGTTCTGACTCTAAGAATCCGGGCCCATGCTAGCTAGTGATCTCACATAAACAGCAGGGTTAGGCAAGATTGTCCTTGGAGAGTGAGAGGCAGCTGTGAATCAGAATCAATGACAAGAAGCAAGATTAATTCCACAGATTAGCTCAAACGCCAAGGCTGTGCGAGTCCCAGGAATTGGGCAGGATACAAAGGAAGGCAGTGCCAAAGAAAGAGATGAAGAGTATAGGACGTGGCTATGACTGAACAAGCGCACCTGTGCCGCCAGCTGGGATACAGGCATTCCGTCCTGTATGCCTGTAGAGTGTAACTCAAATTCACTGCTCCACCTTCTTCCCCACAACCATCCTTTACCCGGGTCCTCATCTGTCATTTGTCTATTTGGGTCACTGAATTGTGTTTTAAAATTGTATCACACAGGTAGGTACCCAAGAATCTTTCCAACATTCGATTCAGTTTTTAAAAGCCACAACCTTCTGGTATGTTAGAAGGTAAGAGGGAGGCATAGTAAGTTGAGACTTGGGTTTTCTATTATTGTTTCAGCCAGAACAAAAGTTCCATGTTCATTTCTCTTAACTATTATGGGTTCTTAAAATTCACATATATTATGAGGGTCTGCTTTAACGGTGTTTGCATCAGTCTATAGCAACCTTTCCAGGAGCACCCACTCTGCAGCTTGGCCAGCCTTCCTTCTTGTATCCCACTCTAAGTAAATCATGTGAAGTGCTTCCTTCATTAAGTTTACCTCTCTCTGCTCCAGAATATCTTGTTGTCTTTCTTTAATCATCTTTTGGCCATAGGTCAAAGCCTTACCCTCTGGGGACCCACTTCAGTCAGAATGAAAGAGCCAGGCCAAGGTGTTAGGCTGTTTAGAATTGTCAGTACACAGCCTGCCCCCCAGTGAGTGAACACCAACATAGTGTATGTTATTGCTCCTTAAGGGAATTGTTGCCTCTGTCCAGTTCGGTACCTTTGTACATGGAAACTCACAAAGTTAAAAGAGAGTCCCCCTTACAACATTTTCATATGCTAACTTTCCATTTTGAGAGCATTGCCCAGTGACTTGGGGAAGGATCATGATCATCTATTTTTTTTGTGTGAAATGTTGATAGGAAATGATTTCAATGTCCACCTTCTGTTGTCTGGAAAGACACTTCTACTAATGTGGCTTTTGGGATGGCTTAGAAACCCTTGAGTCCTTCAACATTACTCACGGGGCTGGGTGCCCCCTGGTGGTGATCTGTAGCCATGCAGATGTTTCCAAGACGGCCATGACTGCAAAGCCTAATTCTAAGCTTCAACGTAGACTGTTTTTCATAGCAATCCAGTAACAAGTGAGGTAGCTACTAGTCGTTTAGTAACTCATGCACAACAGCATAGACAGTGAGTGGCAAGAAGAGAGGGGCTTGAATCTAGGCAGGTTAGACAGGAGGCTTAGCCTCTAACTCCTATATTATGGGAAGAGATACTACGGTCTGTTTATAAAGATGAATTAATGGCAGCAACTTTGGAATGATGGCACAAAAATGTTGGTAAAGATTCACCAAAGAAAAAGAACAACTGAACTACACAAAATTATTTAATATATGCATTACTTAAAAGTATCCAGAAAGTGTACAAGCAGTGTTTCTCAACTTGTGAGTCTCGACCCCTTTGGGGGGTCTCATATCAGATACTTCCATTATGATTCACAACACTAGCAAAATTACAATTATGAAGTAGCAATGAAATAATTTTATGGTTGGGGGTCACCACAACATGAAGAACTGTATTAAAGGGTCGCAGCATTAGGAAGGCTGAGAACCACTGCTATATGCCATACAGCAAAGGTGAAGCATCCATTCTAGAAAACATATAACACCTCAATAGTAATGTAAGGGTCTGTGGCGTTTGAGTCAGGCTATGTGGTACTACAAAGCTGATGAAGTGTAGCTTCTCCCCAGTCTGAAGCTACGGTTTCTCCCCTGGAGAGGCAGAGTGCATTTCTCACCAAATCCAAAGCCTCAGCCTGCAGAAATCCTAGTCTATATAGGTAGGTCAGGGGCTTCCTGAACAGCCACCAACACTAGTAAAAGCTCATGAGCTGTGACCCTGAGGGGTCAGAAACACTGTGAAGTTTTACCCACTAGGAGCAGGCAGCGCAGGATATGAGCAGGTTTAAAATGTTCCTTGGCACTCATAGATTCAGCAATGTGGAGTGGAAACTTGATGGCACAAGGGGATTAACCCCAACTTCTTATCAAGGGCTGACCGAACAATCAGCTCTTCCAAATCAAGAATAATTCTAGAAAGCCAGACTCAGACGTAGTTGCTCATCCCTCATAGCTTGGAAAACCATGTGCATGTCTAAGGTTACACCCTCATAGGGGAAATCAGAGGCACCCACCGAACAATGGCTTCTTGGTTGCATGTGGAAGAAAAGTAGTTAGGCCCTCTGAACTGTGGTAATAACTTCCATATCATATGGCCAAGGGTTATGGAACATACAGCATTTGGCTAGCTAGTTTCACTTGGCTAAGAGACAAAATGAAGGAGGGGGGGAAAAAAACCCAAGCAGCAATATTAAAGGCTGCACACAGCAGATAAAATAGCCTTCAGAGTTGCTTCAGCCTAGCTGCTAGACAGACCAATGGCCAAGGAAACAACCATCCCTGGGAGACTATGGCCAGAGCTAGCAAATGTATCCACTTTCTAAGAAATGACTATGAGACATTCAGAGAAGCAAAGACATGTGACCTTCACATAAGGAAAACAATGAGAAGCAGGCACCCCAAACTTGCTTGGGGAAGGCCTAGATGTTGCACTTAACAGATGAAAATCTCAAAGTAGCTGCTTTGATGATCCAAGTCTGCAGGGTAACCTGCTAACGGAGAAGGTGAAAGCATGATGAAAATCTCACCAAACATATAATCTCAGTAAAGAGCCAATTTGTTTTCCAAAGAAACAAGGAGAAAATCTGCCGCTGAAAACGGTAAGAACCAAAATGAATACTTCCAGAGGGAGGTTCCATAGCAGAAATGAGCTGGCAAAAGAAAGAATTAATGAACTGACAGATTGATTGATGGAGATTAAATGTGCTGTGAGATAAAAAGAAAAAAATAACTAGTCCATATGTGGAACCATTAGACACACCAACATACAGGAAATGGGAACAACAGAAGGATGGAGAGGAAGGGATGGGAGACACTGGAAGAAATAATGGGTAAGATTACCATAATTTGATGCGAAGCATTAATCTACACCTCCAGGAGATCAGTGGACACCAAGACATGTAAATGCACAAAGACCTGCACTCAGCCTCATCCTAGTCAAATGTCAAAGAAATGAGAGAGAACCCCAAAAGCAGGGCTCTTTAAACACTGAAAGTCAACTTCATACAGGAAACAGTGGAGGCTGGAAAATAGGAAGAAGTCACATTCAAAGACCACAAAGACAAATTCACCAAGAATACAAAATGATACAATTATTTTGGAAAACCGCTTGGCACATACTCAAAAAACTGAATACAGTATTGGTACATCACCTGGTAAGTCCACTCTTAGAAAAATGAAAATTTATGCTTACACACACACACACACACACACACACACACACACACACACGTACATACTAACGTTCAGAACAGGATGGCTTATGTAGCTAAAAAGCAAAAACTCTGTGAATGTCTACCAGTAGGTGAATGACTAAACAACATAGACACGGATAGTATTTGGCAATGAAAAGGAATGAAGCACAGTCGTGTTTGGCTTGCCAGTGGGGATGTGTTCTGAACACTGAAACGTTGAGTAATCTTATCACTACCTAAACATCACAGAGTGTACTTAACAAACCTACATGGTACAGGTGAAGTTGTGTCCTGGCCTCTTTATGTAATCAAGAGATTCAGCAATCATGAGCTGTATAAGGCTTATGCTGGCATAGCAGGGCATATTACTTTACACCAAACATTTTTCTTTTGTTTCATTTTTTTATTTGAATTAGAAGCAAGGTTGTTTTACATATCAATCCCAGTTCCCTCTCCCTCTCCTCCCCTGCCACCCCCCCAACTAAAACTCTATCTATTATATACGCTTTCTGCTCCCCGGGGAGGGTGATGCCTTCCATAGGGGGTCTTCAGAGTCTGTCATATCCTTTGGGATAGGGCCTACCCCCTCCCGCCCCCCCCCACCGTGTGTCTTGGCTCAGGGAGTATCCCTCTATGTGGAATGGGCTCCCAAAGTCCATACCTATGCTAGGGATAAGTACTGAGATACTACAGGAGGCCCCGTGGTTTTTCAGATGTGCAGAGTACACTCTAGAACAATGACAAAAGCATAACACAAGAAGCTCCTGTTTATGAACAGGAGCATGGACACTTAATCATCACTACCAAACATTATTGTATGGTTGTTAATTGCATGTTCTGTACTTGCACACAACTGGTAGCACAGTAGTTCTATGTACACCAGTATTATCACAAAATTACCAGAAAC